CATTCTGTCTGTTTAGATGGGCCTGTAGCCAGACAAAAATGAGCCTGTAGAATCTTGTCATTTGGAGGCTTTTACCTCTCTCGTTGTATTTGACATCATTTGTCATCCAATGTAACGTGACAGCAACAGCCTGACAAGCTGGATAATACACTTCACTTGCAAAAATCATGCACAAGGACTGCAAACACATTTTTATTTAAGTTATATCATGTTTATGTATAATGGGGGGGGGGGGTTGCCACAGATCTTCCATAGAAAGGCTAAATAAATCTTAAGTTTTTATCTTTTAATGTCCTGCTTTTGATATTTTTACCAACTACACAGAAAAAGTTAAGTTTCTCCAGTCATACTAATTTATTTGGACAGCCATTTGGATATACACAAGCTAAGAAACTTCTCTATTATTTTTACTTCTGCTCCCTGAAGCATATGTGCCCCATTTTCTAGCTAGCGTGTTTCATAACCTCTTATTATTTACCATATTGGTTGTGAGAGGAGGGGGAGAGAGAAAGTCTAGTTCTCTCAAAGCTCAAGGACTTGGATACATTCCCAAACATGTCAATCCTTAGAGTGACACTCATCCTATGTCATCCTGTATTCAATTAACACCTATTCTGTGGCTCCACAGAAACTTTTGAGGATACCACATATGACTTTTGACAAGCTCAGAAGGAGCAAAACATTTATCAATGGATGGCTTCCTATATTACCTAACACACAGGCCTAATATATTACTGCATAACAGTGATATTCAGGATCTCTCCTTATCCCGTCTTCTGCCAGGAGAGATAGAAAAGGAACACCTAGGAGGAATGCCTTTTTGTCCCTTTCATGTTAGGACAAACAATCTTTGGACTGAACCAAATTTTGCTATGGTATATATTTGCAAGATCTTTGAAATTATATTTCAGGCATAAACCTTAGAAAACATGTCTTGTTTATGCAGTGTTACAAAGAAAATTGAGCAATGCAATGGCAGAAGGACATATTGGCCAGGTACAGACATTCAGAGTGCTTGAATCACAATTGATCTTAGTTATGTGGTTTTCTAAGTGGCATAGTTGAGATGGGTAATGAATAGGACACACATTTGCCCTTTGGTGAGAGGGGGCAAATCTTAGACCAGGTTACACCATTTGTAAACCAGTCTGTGTGTGCCAAACTTCTGTTCTGAGTATAGACCAATTTCTGATCACTTACACTGGTAAAAGTGTAATGTCTGTACCTGGCCATTATGATTATGTTATGACCCTCTGAATTCACTAACTGATGATTGTGTTCTTCAAGTCTCTATGATGAGCAGTTCAGTCTGATTTTCTTTTTCATTTTCAGTCTATCCTTATCTAGCAATTTCTGCTTAAAATAATCTAGTTAAAAATAAAAAGAAAGGGTCCCAGGCCCCCTTGCAAATCTTCACCTGGGAGAGAACTTGTGCCCATAGGAGTAGCTTGTACTGCTTTTACTTTAACCCTTCAGGAAACCCTCTTTGGAGGTCTCAGCTTCAGAGTTGGTAGTTGTAGGCCAGGAATGAGGAAATTAACTAGATCATACTCACTCTAAATACCCTAAGGAAAGTAGAATAAATTAATATAATTTCTGTTCTACTTTTTTACTTCATTTTGAGGAATCTGCTTATGAGACTACTAAACTTAAACTAGACCCTAAGACCTATGTTTCCAGAGGCAGAAAATAACCATGCGAGTCAGAACAATATGTCAGCATCCTTTTCCTCCTGTAGCTCCCTCAAGATCCATGTGATATCAGTGGATCATGGGTGTTTTCTTCTTTATGAGTAAATCCTGAACTCATTCTCCTCCCTAATAGGAATTCAACAAAACCTGAGTTTTGTAACTAAAGTGAATTTATTTTCCTCTCTCTGGTAGGGGTTCCCCCCCCCCCCCCCCCCCCCACAAACAAAAGACAAAATTTATAGAGCGCCCCCCCGTTGTGGGGGTCCCCCCCCCCCCCCCCATATACAGAAGAATGAACATTGTGTACGGCTTTACGGACTTGGCCTAGACAATGATTCACTAGAATGCCCTATATACAGTCTACCACTATAAATGAAAAATATCAGTTTACACAAACCCTGTATATGAAGATCTGCCCAAAACCCTGTGGGATTTGCCCAATTTTTTTAATTAAACAAGTTGGTATTAAGCTTATTAATACTACTAGCATTGATATTTTTTCTTCAGTACTCTGTTAGCCTATCTATATTCCTTGCTACAGAGAAAGGTTTAAAAGAGAGACAGCATAGCCTATTCTGCTCAGTCTCCACATGATAGTCATCACCATGGTATCAGTGAACCTTAGCCATTTGTTCATCTGATGCAACATATTGCTTTTCTTATTGGACATATTTAATCTTTTCCTTTTGTAAGAAAAGATTTTAGCAGCCATTTTATCATCTCTGTCCCTTGAAACTTATATCCATAAAAACTATATTTGCTGAACACTCAGAAACGAAGTAGCAATTTATTAAACAAGGTATACTAAAAAGCAGTAATTAAAGGGAATCAAAATAATACATTCACTTTTCTTATTGAACATTTTTAACCTTTATTATTATAATAGAATTACAGTCTGACATAAAATAAAGAGCTTTTGCTAAACTCTGTAAAGCAATACATGCTTCTGCCATAAACAACCTCTATTAGATTTAGGTTTTATTGCCACATCACTGCACTGAGGTGCAATAAACATTCAATGTCATCTTTTTAAAATTATCCCAGGAGTAAACAGAAACTGTCCTCTATAAGAGTGTATCATTATTTTCAAGGAAGACTTACTATTATTACATGGTTTAGCAAAGCACTGTAAAAAAGCTACATAGAGAATACCTTGTCTTTGATAAACTGTGCAATCAAGTTTATACAGTATAATACTATTCACATAGACTAACAAACTAAGAGGTGATATAATGCAATCATTGCATAGCAAAAAGCGGACTATTTAAGTAATATTCACATCTAATGTGCAAAATGCAGACCAAAAGTAGCAATGAATTGCTAGTAAGGTAAAATACCCTAAATGAACACACTAGATTAACGCCAAAAATAACAAGATAAACAAGTACACAGAAGTTAAAGAGCCATATTTTATTTTTTTTCTATACATATATCTACACATGATACCAGAAGATGAAACATCCCCTTTAATAAGTTCCAATCAAATTACTCATCAAGTTTAGACAGGACTAAATGTTAGACAATGAAGCATTATTAATTGTTTTCTAAATAAATCATTAACTATTTTTAGTAGTGAGTGGCAAACTTTTGATTTATTGAGAAAGAGTTTATAAAACATTGCCTGAAACACAAGTATTAAACTTGGCTGTCTCATTAAATATTCCACTGAACATTCATGTGGCATTGTTTTAAATTCATTCAATATTGTGTTTTATGGATTCTGAATTAATACTTGCAAAACCCCATCAATCTCTTGAGCTCTTTGAAAAATCCTTATCTGAAATATATATTTCTAAGTTCTCAGTAGTAATGAAACTGACTATAATCTGTTTAAAGGGAATACCATACCTGCAAAATGGACATCTTGTATTTAAAGCCCTTACATATTGTTCCTACAAATATATTGCTACAGTAAAAATGAAATGTAATAAGTTTACTCAATAAAATCTATTTTACTGTACATTCTTTTGTGTATGATTGTTTGTATTTAATGCTACATATATTACATCACTTATTGTAACAGTTATGTATCAGCAAATATAGCAGTAATATACAGATGATTTTCTGTCTTAACAAATATTTTACCAGTTTTACCTACCAAATATAATCCCATACTTTAGTATTTATAAATGACCTGAGCAAACCAGTCATTTATCTAGTATACATTGGATGATATTGTCAAATTGCAAGCTACTGTACACTTCACCACTTTAAAAATGGATTCAATTCCAAGCACTTTCTACTCTGTTTAGCCTTTCAAGTACTACTGACATTTTTTATGCAGGCTCTAAATATGTTTGTTTAGCATTTAACAACATATCAAGAGCTAAGAGGTGAACCCTACATAATATTTGAAGAACACAACTTTAAAAAAGTAAAAAAAATGTACAATCTCATGCTGCATATTTACATATGTTATTTAAATACTATATTCTGTCTTTCTTCTATCCATAAATTTCTGTCTAAAGCTTTTTTAATGTATTATTTTATAAAAGAATACATTCAACATATCTAGAGCTTGCAAAACTGTTTTTTTTTCTTTCTAAAACATACCGACAAATAAAAGCTACCTGCTTAAAGCATCCAGGAATTGGTTTGATTACACAGGGTGCCAAAGGAATTTAGGTTCTGCACTTGATTGTGAACTGATTCTTATCTAGTCTAGTGACAACATAATGCTTAAAACAAAACTGCAGTAAGACAGCACATTAAAGCATTTGTTACCATTAGATCATATGTACTACACAGTGATCAACTGTATCTAGAATATGCAGACTTTCTTTTCTTTGAAAAATAATTAATAATTATGGGATTGGGAATTGAGAAACAAAGAGTAGGACAAATAAGTATCTTCTTGAATTCAACAAAACTGAAACCTTTGTGTCCTTGAAAAGAATATAAAGTAAATAGTGCTCAATAATTGGTAAGTACACTACATCATGTGCAACATGAACATCATAAAGAATATTTTCCCCCCACAATCATTTTGCATAAAAATATCTTTCACATACATATACAATATCTTTGTTGGGACATTCAGTAATATGCTATCTACAAATAGTTTAGAATTGTTTTCATTACTAGAACTTTAACTTTCTCTTTTTCAGAATCAAGGTTCCAAGGATACAGCCTTAGCATGGAGGGTTTCTTTCTTATTTTTAAAATATATATATATATATTTACCTTTTTTTAAATAAGTATCCTTCATTTTCTTTAAGACAGAGGCAATGAAGCAAATGGGAATTACTGTGTGTCAAAAACTGAAGCAATTCCCAGTGCAAAAGAATAAAACTACATGAATTAATGGGGTTATTGATGAGGAGTCGGGGCTAGCTGGGGCTCCCTGTTTAAATAAGTGGCCCAGTAGACTAAATTAAAGATACCAAAGAGCAATGGGAAAGCTATTCTTGATAGTCGATCAATTTTGCTGACACTGTTAAAAGTTTTCTTCGGTTCTGCAGGTTTTGTTTCTGGTTTAATTTCTTTGGGCTCTATTGTTGCGCTTTTAGCAATGGTAGCCAGTCCAGGGTCCCTTGCAATGTTAGGGGTATAACTTGTTGCTGCTGCTGTATATGTGTTGTTTTTCTTAATGAGAGGATCCTTCCCTTTCTTTGGCTAGGGGAAGAGAAGCATAGATGTTATTCTTGGTAAAAACACAACAACACATTATCACATAGGGGTATTCCTATGCATATTAATTGTGTAACAAATTGGGGCAAAACAGAAATTAGAGTGTATATATGTGACTTAGGTAAATCAATCAGTTCAAGAACAAGATATAGCCACTCATTTAATTGCTTTTTCCATTTAGGAAAAGCTCTTATATTGATAGCAAGGCTCATCAGTGTACCGTCTCATATTTAATACAGTATCAAGAACAGCAGACCAAACCAGCATAATGTTGGTATTCTAAAAAGCTGTACCTTTTGCCCAGAGCAAAGGATGCCACAAACACTGCTAACTTTAGCATTCAGCTATCAAGACAAACATTTTATGATATTTTCTCACAAGTCAAACTCAGAAATATCATTTGTGACACAAAGACTGCTGAGTACAGGCATTCAAAAAGCTCAAGGCAGAATCAATCCAATCTACGCCACTTTCTCTAAAACGAGTAGATTACATTGGAAATGAACAGAACATATGTTCACTCCTCAGTGGGGGAAGGCAGGCAGATGCCTGCACTGACCAAAGCCAAAAGGCAGGGGGGTGGTCTCACACACATCCCAGTATACCGCATATTGCTGAGGGCAGCTGAGCCCACCCAAAGAGGGGTCATCCCTGATTGGCTGCCAGACACATGCTGCCTAACCCCTGCTGTCAGCCAGGGGCAGCACGGGGAGACAACCAAGAATCTCCCCCTCCCCCCTGCAGCCTGGCTCTCCAACTTCCTGGCTGAATCACTGCCACTATGTCTCACAGCCGCAAGTCACTGCCTCTCACTGGCAGGCAAGTGGGGGAACAAAGTCCCTGACCCCAGTCCCAGACCCCCCCTGCCCTCCAAGCTGGGGTCTGCACAGCTGGGGCAGGCCCACATAGACAGGGCTTTCCCCACTGCTTGGCTGCCCAACTCATTGGCAGCTGGGCAGTGAATGTCCCCTCCCCTCAGCTGTGCAGGCCTCAGCTAGGGGTGGGATAAGGTGAGGGTGGGGGGCTCTGTTTCCCCCCTCATCTACCCCTTACCCTGCTGGTGAGAGGCAGTGGCTCAAGACGGAGGGGGGGGGGGAGCAGGGCTGTGCAGCACAAGTTTGTTACCTCGGTTTTGTGACAGCCTGTGGGTGGGCCCAGCTCAGCGCCCTGCAAGCGGGGATTGTCAGGGGAGCTACAAAGCATCCTGGGATGGTGGGGGCATACAACCTGAGTCAGGAGGTGATCTGGAACAGAAGTTAGACTGATCTAGGCTGAAAAGATTAAATCTGATACTTTATCCATTCAGGTCAATCTCAACTCAATGGTTCTGCCATTTTTAAACCAGTCTATGTGCACTGAACATCTGGTCTGTTACAAGATTAGACAGGTTTCCAATCACTCATACCAGTTTATGTATAATGTCTGTACATAGCTGAAGAGAGAACTTATTTAAAACAAATACAGCATATGGCCTACATACATCCCTACTCAGAAAAGTACTTTGGACTTATGCATGTGTTTAAGTGCTTTGGTGGATTATAGACTTGAAGGGTGGGTCCCCACATGCAAAGGTAAATGTTTGCCCTGGCACAAATAGCAATGGCACACATTTGTGCTGTTGCTTTGTGGCCCAGGGGTTCTGGGAGCCTCCTGGAGCAGGCAGCACTGATATGGCTACACAGAGGTGGTCAGTAGCATAGCTCTGGATGGCCAGGCTCTGTTTCTGGTGGCACACCCTGCTGTCACATGGTCTTTGCCACTTGTTTGTTTTTTTTAATGGGTTTTTTTTTAATACTGGGATCGCCTTGTCTCAGTTTTTGGTGCCATGCTGCTTATTAGCAGCACAGTTAACAGGTGCACATGAACCACGTGAGATTTGTAGCACCTCACACAGCTTTGAGGTGCCATGAACCACATGCGTGTGCTTTTCTGGACACACCCAAGGTTTCAGTTGAGACAATACCCCTTGAATATCTGAGTTGCAGTAGTTGAAGTTTCATTCAGAATACGCGAGCTACATACTCGTGAATTTTTTATCTTTGTTTTAAGTATCCCTATATCTTGCTGAAATTTACTGACCATGTTACAATTCAGTTATTTTTTAAATGTTCATAGCTCAGCAGAATCCTTAGTTTTTAATACTTTATGCCTCTTAAAGTCATTTTAACTGTCTTTAATTTATTTGGCATATGGCAATCCCAGTTAGCATAAGCATTTTCTAGTGGGCAGGCCTACTCTGCATAAGGATAAAGCATGAGAATAAGTGAGGGAAAAAAAAAGGTGTGCCAGAAGAACCATGATTTAGTCTCAATATCAACTATGACAGATCATTTTGGGATTGAGGTATTATACAGACTAGCAATCAGTTTAGCTGCAGCCAGAGGGAGGATTTGTCAGGAAACCACTGGGTGAATGGGGGACAGCTGCAGGGAACACAAAAGCCCGGAGAACCAGGACAACCCCAGACTAAATAAACAGGAAGGTTTGAAGTGATATGTTTCCCTTATTCAGAAAATGATAGAACCGAAGCCTAAAAAGGGGGAGGGAGGAACCTAAACTAGACTCTTTGTGGCACATCCCTTGGCTGTAAGGATAAACTAGGAGTTTGCAACAATTTATATGCCTGAAGCTGAGGAAAGGCTTCACATCCCCATCAGCAGAAGTAAACTATTTCTGCCTAAAAGATGAAATAATCATCTGAGATCCTTATGTAAAAACTAATCTAAACATAAGCAGAGATAGAGGAATCTTTGCATTTATCTGTCCATAATCACCTGGAACTTTTACTTTTCAAAATGTATTTAGGACCCCCTTTTCACTTGTAAATCTGTGTAACTTGCTTGCTCAGGGCAGATCCAGGCCTGTTTTCTTCTTATTCTAGTAAGGAACTATAAGCCCAACTGAATGAATACCCATGTCAAGGAAGCCTCATAGGAGAGAGAGCCATTTTGGAGTCTTATTAAAATACTATGCAGGATCTGAGCTTGGCAAAGGCCTAAATGCAATCAGGATCTTAATAATTTATGTCAAATTGAAGTTTATGAAAAAGTAATATGACAGCTAATCAGAGCCCTGCATTTTATTCAGTTGTAAAATTCTGCTCACTTTTTCCTCACTGGAAATTCTTAGTTATTCCCCAGCAATTAATTCAGTCTATGGGAAATAATTGTTATGCATTCTATCACAGAATACACAAGGATCCATACCTTACCAAGCTTATGCCTATACATAAAATAGTAATGTTTCAAATGATTCTTGAATGTTGTGGTTTGGGGGGATTGTATAATTATAAATGAGCACCCACATCAAATAAATGTTTGATCATAAGTAAGTAAAATGTGTACAAAAATATTGGACAAAAAGGATTAGGCAGATTTAAAAATATAAATACATGTTGTATTCTACTTTAAATGGATTTGAAACTACTCTTAAAATAAGCTATAGCAAGGTTATATGAATAAGTAGAATAGAACAAATCATTTGGAATGGAAAGTTCAGCCATTATTTAATTTAATTTAAGATATTCCTTTAGCAAAGAGCTTTGCAAATTATAAACCTAAAATCAATGTTAATTCCTTGTTTTTGCTTACCAGGATACTCTGGAAGTCTCTCTCAGACAAACCCTATATAAATTAATCTACCTGTTTCTACTACACCCGGAAAAATGAAAGTGTGTGAGAGAGAGAGAGAGAGAGAGAGAGAGGCTGTTATTTCTTTTTCTTTCTTTTTTTAAATAACTGGAATATGCCATGATGGGATCTATATACATACAAGAAAAGAGATGGCTAGAAAGAGGGATGAGAGGTGACATGTCTCATAGATTAGCCCTATTCAGGATTAGTTCTGCTTTAGGATTTCCTGGTATCCTTCTCCCCCTTCAGCCAGTTCTGGCATGGCTTCTAGAGGGGCAAGCTTCTGGATTCGAGATCCTGGTTCTTCCTTGTCCCTGGCTCCCATGGCTTTCTGTAGCAACCCTACCCCAAAGAGGTCCTTTTTTGCTTAGCTTCTGAAAAGGAGGGCAGGAGTTGCCTCTCCCAAGGGTGGGCTCACAGTGCCAACATCCCCAAAAGCATAGTAAACAGCTCCATTATAAACAGTCGTTGATGTGCCACCATAGTTCCCCGCATCAACCCTAAGTCAGCTTTCTCCTCCCAGCTCCCTCAGACCCCTTTTTGGTCCTCTTCTCAGACACAAGTTGCCACATAAGCAAAAAATATAACAAATTATAGTAGTTAACCCAGGGACTAACCCTTGCCCAATATAACGAAACATGTTATTGGAAACCAGTGGTGCTTTACTCCAGGGCCTGCTGCCAGGCCTAGACCACTATCTTCTCTTCAGGTGAAAAGGGCATCTAGATGTCCTACTATGAAACTACCTACTGCAGAAAAGGTATCTGACCCCTGACAAGAGCTTTAGGCTAGAACTCGGCCCATTTAGCCTCTGTCTCCATAAAGCAAACCACAACACTTTCTATTCTATAAACACAGTCTATAAAATTACCATATTTTAAAGCCAATCACTCTCTTTTTTTAATTCTTTACCTCCCTGAGGCACTGTGTAAACACTCACGCTTCTCCTTGCTTGCACAATATGAAAGCCATTGCCTTCATATTACAAATTTGTGTTTATTTTCCCTCAATTCAGATACAACTTATCAAATGTCAATGACTAAATGCTAAAAGAAATTTTTATCTACTGGAGAGTTTTTAGATAAGATTTTTATCTAAATCTTAAATCATTACTATCATTAAATCACTCTTTTCAGAAACTAGCAAAGACTGTGTAATGCATATGTATTTGGAAATAAAACCCATGTATTAGCATACACAATGCAGAGGCTCACATGGACTGCTCATAAGTTATTTCTTCTTACTGTCCCCCTCCCCCAACTCCCATTTCAAACACAGTTACCCATACTTTCCACATAAGACATGAGAAAGGGACTTAATCCCTTAGCTATTTAGTGCTGTTCAGGCTGACAGTGTTTTAAAAATGAAAATTTAACTAGTTTCCATACTATTTATAAAGAGCAAGTAGCCTCATGCCATTGTTGACTGAAGATCTCATATAGTGAGTGCAATTTAGGAACTTCCTCTCCTTTTATATAACACTGAAAAATTAGCAGACTTAATGCTACATAAATATCACATGTTTTCACAAAAAGACACGCTGTCTATTAGTAGTAGCATCTATTAACCTTACCTTTTCAGGAACAACACTTTTGCCATCCCATGCATAACCTCTCTTTGTGAAGTAGTTCACTGTTGCAAATTCAATGAGGGCTGAAAACACAAATGCATAGCACACTGCTATAAACCAATCCATAGCAGTGGCATAGGCTACCTTTGGAAGGGAATTCCTTGCGCTGATACTCAAGGTTGTCATTGTCAGGACAGTTGTCACTCCTGTAAGATAAACATTTTAGAGACTTTGTTTAGGTAAGTGGGAGTATTTTTTTTCTTTAATTTTTCAACATGCCCAATACCATAGAAAACCCTAATGGTTTGTGCTTCTGCTATTATAAATGTATAGGAGTAACAAGCCACTGGTTCTGTTGTGGCAGTAGGAACCTTGAAGATCATCGTTTTTCATGAAGCCATTAGAATCAGATTTTGGCATGTAACTGTCAAATTCAAGTGAAATTTATTCTTGAGAAAATACTGCTACTCCCACAAGTCTAGTGAGTGGAAAACCAAGAAGTGCTTACTGGCATTAGCCATAATAAAACAGCTGTTGGTTACTTATCACTGAACCACTACAAATTCAGAAGAATAACAGCAGAAAGAAAACAATATGTTTGGGTTGGTAGAGAGATAGAGATGTCCAGCCAGGCTACTGAGATTTCCTTTTTTTTTTTTAAATCTAAACCATCTATAGTATTATTAGATACCTAATAACATATTTGAGACATTTGTGTTTCACACATTTAAAAATTACACTTAATAGACTAGAGGTCATTTGCCTACTCAAGTGCCCTGCTTCTGATTTCTATAGTGAAACAATGTTTCAGATTAAGACATGAAACAAAACAGTTCCAGCTAAATTCCTCTATGACTCACTGCTAATCAGTGTCTCTCAGCATGAAAGCTGACTTTTTTGTAGACTGTAAACAAATTCAGTTGTTAAGTTAAAATCTCAGTTTTCTTAATTTTATATCAGATGTATTAATCATTTCACCAACAGAATTGAAACTGTAACTCTTTATTGTGGTCTGGTAGCCTCCTGGGGTTTATGAATTGACATACTTTCCTCTTCTAATAGAAGAATTGTGAGGGGATGAGGGGGGTGACTAAATCCAGTAGATGCAGCTGCAGAAACAAGCAAAGCAGGGACTGCTGAGCCAGCAAAATGGACAAGCACTGTGCAGACAAGGACGGTAAATAGTCTTGGGCACAGGGGTATAGCTGGTGGCTCCCCTCATTACACTTTGAGGAACAGCTAGGAGGAGTCAGCCAAAGACTGCAACTCCTAAGTACAGTTGTGGAAGCAGCCCAAACAGGGACTATAAGGCATTCAGAGAACTATAACCTTGACTGATCTTTCTCTGTCATGCTGATGGGACATTTTCCCTAACCATTTACCCATAGCCTCTTTACCTCAGCTATCCTATTTAGCTTCTCTTTGACCTTCTACTCTACCCTGTCCTTCTTAGCCCCATCTATTCCTTATGGTCTCTTTTAGCTTTCCCTATGTAAATAAACATCCTTCACCCAGAATGATGCTAATAATAATAGTAAAAATTGTTCTGGAATATTTCCTGCCATTGCATTTGCTGCTACACACATCTTATGTGTATAGCTCAACCACCCCTTGTCTTTTTCAGTGTAGATTGTAAAAACTTCAGGCAGGGCAGGGGAAATACCACTGTGTGTTTTATAGTGCCAAGTACAATAGGGAAATCATGCTTGGTTGACCCTTAAACACAGCTATAATAACAGGAATGTTAATATTACTAATAATACTAATAACAACCTCTGTTCCCATCTAGCAATTTTAAGTTGTATTGAGAGTTGCAAGTTATTTTTTCTTCCTGCAAATTACTTTCTTTTATGCAACAAAATAAAGATAAAGCCACATGCAAAGTTTAGGTAGTTTTCCACTGGATATTTTCCACTCTAAGGTTGCTACAGTGCCATAAGATATTTTTCATAAAGCTGAAGAAGTACAGTAATCATTCTTAATGCTAACTAATATGTTCATTGCTAATGGACTGACAGGCATAAGCAAAACAGAGGTTCATCCTAAAATATGCTATGCTGCATGTTGTAATACATTTACATTTATATGAGCTGTTGTTTTGTTCAGGTTTCAGACCACCATGGGTTCCTGGCAACAGGAAAGAGGTTAGATAAGAAGCATGGTAATGTAATATGCATTTCTAGTAGCAGAGCCTCATAGCTGCTGATGAACATTTTTCCTTAATGAGCCATGGAGCTTCCAATGAAGGTAGGAGGATTGTATTTATATCACATCGCTTACAGATTTTTGAAAGTGCAAACTAGACATTTATATTGAATCACATGTTCACAAGTAACCTTGACAACTACAATGTCATGTATTAAATCTCTGCTGCAGTTTATTCCACTGTACTGAATGCTAGGAAGAATATTTAGTGGTTTGAAAAAGGTTGCTAACAAACAATACAGACGTAAGTGTGGGGACACACACACACACACATACACACACACACACTAGTGACAATATCTTGAATATTGGTGCCTATTGGGGATGCGGTTTCTATTCCCTAAGGGAAAACCTAGGCTTTTCTTCCACTTACCACTAATGAGCTTTGCTGCCATTATGTAGTAAATCCTCTTTTGCTGCAATTTGTGTTGTTTTGTAAGGGTAGAAGTAGGCTATACATATATAAACTATGCTGCTTCTATATGGTTGCATGGACGTCAGTGTTCACTTGAAAAATTTTGATACTTATCTTTTTTTCAATGTCTTTAGAAAAGTCAAAAAATCAAAAAGTAATTTTACACTCAATATAAACATGCTGCATTTACATGTTCCCACACTTGCAAAAGGAATTTTCAATTGGTCAGTTGCAGCTGGAGCAACATGAAAGGGACTGGATTATATTGGCAGAAATCTCACCTCACGTTTTTCCTAATCAAGACTTTATTCTGAGGGGGGTTTCTTAATTTTGTACATGAATTGAGTTAAAAGTTCCAAGGCATGTTCTAGTTAGTGTGTGTGCGTGTGTGTGTGTGTGTGTGTCAGTGTGCCCCCACACCAAGTGCATCACATGCCCAGAAGAGACATCACATTAGTTGGATCTGGCTTGTCCAACATCTGTATAAGTCAGACACTTCAGTGGGGCTTTATGGTGCTTTGGAGGCTTTTTTGGTGCTTTTTTTTTGGTTGAACTAATGTCTGCTTCTTTTGGTAAATTGCTGTTTTGGGGCTTTTTTCTTCATGTCTTCTGTCAGTGCCACCAGAGGCTAAAAGCAAGTATAAATTGTATCAGTTTAGAGTTTCTTAGATTCACTTCTAAGATTGTAATGTAGGCACTAAAACTTTGGTCACTGATTTCAATAGGAGCATTGGACCTTAAAGATGTGATGTTTTCAAAGACTCTACAAATCGAGATCAACCTTAAGACTGGAAATCTTAAAGGGGAAAGGAGATAATAGGTCAGATAGGATAGCATTCAGTTTGCAAAAGCAAAACTGCTAGCTCAAAATCAGACCAAACTAGATCAGTTAAAAGGTCCATCTTGTAAATAGAAGATCCTGGCATTGAATTATAGTGGTGTCTGAGGGACTGAGCTGTGTGCTTCTTTGACATGCTCTGCATGCCTTTGTTTATTTACGTTACAGATTAGGAAGAAATTTGAAACCACCAGGGAGGTTAGCACTGAAAAGAATTACTTAAAGAGGTTGTAGAATGTTTCGTCATTGGAAAATGCCAACTAGGTTAAATTTCTTTGGGATAGTTTAGGTGGGGATGATCCTGACTTAAACAAGGTGTTGTACTTCATGCCCTCTTAAGACTTCTTCCAGCCTCATTTTTCTGTGATTCTAGTTAAATGACTTAACTATATACAACATAAGAACATAAAAATTGCCATTTATTGGGTCAGACCATTGGTACATCTTGCCCAGCATCCTGTGTCACACAGTGGCAGACAGCGGATGCTTAAAAGGACAGTGAACTGGGTATGACAAAGGCTTTTTTTCTGGAGCGCAGTCTGGAGCACAAGTCTGCTGGAGCACAGTAATTACCACATCCCAGGAGACTTGATTAATCGTGTCTGCTCCGACAGCCTGTAATTACAGATTGGAGAAGCCTCACTGCATAAGTGTAGGTGCCCCTAATTCCCATGTTCAATAGCTATTGATGCTCCTTTTTCCAAGAATTTATCCAGTCCTTCTTTGAATCTTCACTGTCAACTTCCACAACATCTGGTGGCAATGAGTTCCACATTTTCATTACACGCTGTTTGAAAAAAGAACTCCCTTTTGTTCAATTTACTTCTAATTTCATTTTGTAACACCTAGTTCTTGTGTTGTGTGAGAGAGTAAATAATAAATCCCTATTTCCTTTCTCTTCCCAATTTAGTATTTTCTAAACCCTTATCATGTCTCCTCTCAAGTGTCTCCTTTCTGAACTGAGTAGGCCTAGCCTCTTTAGTCTCTTCTCATATGGAAGCCCCTCCATACCACTTATCATCTTTGTTGCCCTTCTCTGTACCTTCTCCAGTCTTCTATATCTTTTTTGAAGTAAGGGCACCAGAACTGGGCACAGTATTCATGGTGTGGGCACACCATTGATTTATAAAGGGGCATGATGATTCTTTCCATTTTGTTTACTATTCCACTCTTACTAGTTCCTAACGTTTTGTTTGCCATTTTGATGACAGCTGAGCACTGAGCAGATGTTTTTAGAGAACTGGCTACAATGACACCCAGATCTCTAGCCTGTGTGGTAACAGCTGATGTAGAACCCATCATAGTGTCCGTATAGTTCAGGCTATTTTTGCCCAGGTACATCACTGTACACTTACCTACATTGAATTGTATCTGCCACTTATTTGCCAATTCACTCCATAGTGCCAGATCTTTCTGTAGTTCCTCACAGTCTGCCTTAGTCTTTACCACTTTGAATAATTTTGTGTCATGGGCAGATTTGGCCACCTTGCTGCTCACCCCCTTTTCCAGATATTTTATGAATATTTGAAACAGCACTTGTCCCAACACAGATCCCTGGGGACCCTACTGTTTTCTACTTTCCACCCTGAAAACTTCCCATTTATACTCACTCTTTGCTTTCTATCTTTGAACTAATTTCTGATCCATGAGTGAATGTATCCTGTAATCCCATGATTACGTAACTTAGTTAAGAGCCTCTGATGGAAGACTTTGTCAAAGGCTTTCTGGAAGTTCAAATATACTATGTCAGCTGGATTACCCTGATCCACCTCCTTATTGATACCCTAAAACAACTCTAGTAGATTGACGAGGCATGATTTACCTCTAACAAAGCCATGTTGATTCCTCTTCATCAAGTTGTGTTCATCCATGTGCTGAAAAATTCTTTTTTTTATTATTGTTTCTACATGTTTTCCGGGAGAGGAAAATATGGTCACTTTCCTGTAGTTCACTACATACCCTCTAAAACTTTTTTAAAATATGGGAGTTACACTAGCAACCTCCCAATCCTCTGGTACTGATTTTAGTCTTATGTTGCATACTACAGTTAGAAGTTCAGCAATTTCCAATCTGAACTCCTTCAGGGCCCTACGGTGAAGGCCCTCATGTCTTTGTGATTTGCTACTGTTTAGTTTATCAGTTTCCTCTATGACCTCATCTACTGAAACCTCAATTTGGGTCAGCTCCACTGACTTGTCCCTAGAGAGGAGTGAATCCGGTGACAGAATTTCCATAATATCTTCCAATGTGAGGACAGAAGCAAAGCATGCATTTAATTTCTCACCAGTGGCCCTGTCATCCTTTGGTGCCTTTTTTATAGCCTGATCATCCAAAGGCACAACTGACTCCCTCGCAAGTCTTCTGCTTCTTATATAATTAAAGAACTTCTTTGGAAAATCTCAACCAAAATCTGCTTCAGCCATTTTATTCAATGTCAATACAAATTCTCTCCTACTCTGACACTTTAACATTGCAACTTTACTTGACTATTATATAAGCCAACCCCTCTTGTATGTTCCTTTACATTTTTACACAAGTAGAAATGGTCTGAGATTCTTTAGGTTTAAAACCAGTTTAGGATTCTGTTATTCTGTTCCTTCTTTTATTGTTTCAGCCATCAATTAAATAGATTAGACTTTAAAAATAATCTGTTGAGACAACTTCAAAATGAAACATATTTGTCATATCTTTGTATACTTCCAGTCCTGTTCTCCAGTGACACATGAGACTTGCCATGAGTGTGTCTCCATATTTTACTCATCTGGATCTGGACAAAGTTTGTATATTTTACTTACCAAATACAGTTCTTGCTGGAACAGATTCTCTGTTAAGCCAGAAGGAGACCTGGGACAAAATCACTGTCATGATGCATGGTAGATAAGTCTGAATGACAAAATAACCAATCTTTCTCTTTAAATGGAAGTGGGTAGTCATAACAACATATTCTCCTGAAAAACAGTGAAAATAAGAGACTATGAGACTTTTTCCCAAACATGCAGATCAAAATCTGTTTTCAAATTTTTGCATCGGTAATGTTTTCTATTATCATTCCTATCTGACATAATTTTTTTTAAATTAGGAATATCCAGGCCTGCAGAAAATTTTGAATAAAGACTATTTAAAAGTTCAAAAAATGTAAAGTCGCATAGGAGAAGAATAACTAAATTTGTGGCCTTTCATCTCAAATCCAACTGAACTGGGTATTGAAAAAAGATAATATTGACTGATGTACTTTGTGAAGGTGTGATCTCAGCCAAGTTGCTGCATAAACTGGAAAACCATCATAACTGACACCTCCATAGATTACTTTCAAAGCTTATATAGGGGCAGATATTAAAAAGTTGTTCCTTCAGACTGAGATAGTTACATTTTCATTGCTAATACTTGTATTATGCCAGTTCTGAAGGCTAAGCATTTCAGAACTATTAATTTAGTACCTTACTATAATGGTGCTCTCCAGTAAAATAAATGTTTGTTGAAAAGTATAGAAGTCTGTCCCTAACATTTGCTTTTTTGATGTTACAGAGAGAGAAAGAATCAGCATTCCTGTGAGGTTGTTTACTATTCAAAGAGCTTTAGGCATTTATATTATTCAATATACATCTGCAATCAGAATACAGAAAAAAACCTCATTTTCACTCTGCTGTTTACAAACATTTTGAAAAACAATATTCGCAAAAGATTGGAAAAACTATTAATGTGACATTATATTTAATGTGGATTGATTTGCGATACAATAGGCATTAGTTTAGAAAAGTAGCAGGTGGATGTGAAACTGAATGAAAATCTCTGGCTAAATTAGAGAAGACACATGAAATTAAATTACTATGATTTTCGTTTTAAAATATAGACAACTGGCAACAGAGAATTGTACTGGTAAAGAAAAATCCTAAATTGGATTGAAAAACTATGTCTAGACATTGACTGCTTATGCTCCAAGCATGTCAAATGCCCTTTTCTCTAATTCACAGGCTAGAAGAACATTTATTCGAACCTTCATGCTCAACAGATAACCCTGAGGGAAGCTTATAATAAGATGTGGAAATATTCAGGATACATTCCAATAGAAAATATATAAAGTAAAAAAAGACAGTGGTGGCAGGGGGTGGTGATGGGGTGACCAATTATGAGTGGAGAGATGTGGTATTCTTTCATTGAAATGTATGGCAGCAGTCACTACGTCTATTGACAACTGTCAGTTGAAATTAAAAGCAATTCCTTTATAATTCCATGATTTTGAATGGTTTATAATTCAATCACCTGCTTGCCAGAGGGTGAAACTTCAAATAACACTTAAACAATCTTATTTTTATCCAAAAAAAAAAATCTGTTTGACCAGATTAAGTCTCTGATTCACAAAATCCTTTAAACATATGTTCCAATCTAAGCATTTGCTTAAATCCTCCTGACATCAAAGATATAGCATATTGGTTCATACCACACTGGCTCATGCACTGTTCATACTTTTAAAAACTATTTTAGCATGCTTCACAAAATATTGCTTAGAATTTTTGCAATTATGTTGATAAATAATGTCTATTTTATATGTCAACTACTTTTCATTATACTTATTACATGAGAGCTAAACTAATTTAATCATCCTATTTCATGAGGACATTAAATTATGTCTTTTTCTAAATGGCTACAGAACTCATACGTGTTATTCAGATATATCTGAAGAGACTTCAATATCTAAACACCTCTGAACTCTAAGACCATTCGTGCCTGATTGAGAACATTTCAGCTGGCTGTTGTTGTCAGTATGGACTATATCAAAATCTTAGTTTCAAACATCTCCAAATAGGAGAAAAGATCTAATTCAGATCCAAAGATACACTTCATTTCTCAGGTCTATTTCTAGTAATTAATAGCTAAATATTCTTCTAGTATAAATCCACATAGTTCTTCGGTGAAACTTGATGGATGGTCAATAAAAGCTACTTCAGAGCTACTACCCTATTCTCTGGGCTCATTTTTTCAATAAATACAAGGTATCAAAATGTTATATAAAACAAGAATGCTTTGCAATCCCAAGGGACAAGAAAGGAACAGATTTTTAATTAGAATTTTTCATTTTCTGTTATAGGTGGAAATCAGCCTTTTCCTGGCCTTTAAATAACAATATTTTAGGTTTAATATTTGTGCAAGGTAACCCACTAGGAAAAAATGTTATCTGGAAACCTGTCCTCTCAGCAGATGCACAGAGCATAAAGAAATAAGAATATAACATTTAGTGAGTACAATTACTGCTGATTTTTCCCTGCAAAACAATATTTTCAAGGTGGAAAAATAATTTCCATATAAATGGAAACTCATGGGTGTCCTTTAAGCATTTCTTTCTCTTTTTAGGAAACCTTGCAGAAAAGGGGCATTTTAAAGGAACTTTAACAGTTGTTGAGGAATGACAGTAGTTCTACATAAAACTTAAAAATGAAAAATGTTCAAGTGACTCTTCTTCTGATTAAACATGGTACTGGTAGCAGTAGTAATAATTATTTATATGTAACATTTGCCAAGCCAATCTTGTAGTGACTGCTCCATGCAAGACAAATGATAACGATTAGGGCTGATTCCTCCCTGGCCATTACAGAATAGTCATAATATGTATGGGACATGTTGTTTTTTAAAGTGGTGACCTCAGCAAACCAGGTTCCATGAACAGTTTGGAAGTTACCACTATCTTTTTTTAAAAATCTGGATACAGTTATGCCTACCAGTTAAGGGAAAAAGATTAAAAAAGCCTTTGATCTGGTATCCCATGATCACTTCTTGGCAAAACTGGCCAGCTGTGGCCTTGGATCCATCACGATCCGCTGGCTGGGGAATTGGCAAAACCGTTTCAGGCTGGACATAAGGAAGAATTTCTTCACTGTCCGAGCCCCCAAGGTCTGGAATAGCCTGCCACTGGAAGTGGTTCTGACACCTACATTGAACGCCTTCAAGAGAAATTTGGATGCTCATCTTGCTGGGATGCTATGACCCCAGCTGACTTCCTGTCCCTTGGGCAGGGGGCTGGACTCGATGATCTTCCAAGGTCCCTTCCAGCCCTAATGTCTGTGAAATCTATGAAATCTATGAAATGGCTTGGTCAAATATATACACACTTTATATTTTTGCTTGTAGTGATACAATTTCTAATAAATTTAGCAATTTCAAGGAAATCATATGATTTCATAGGGTACACACAAGCTTTACATTTCAACTGGTGGAATTACAGTTCCACTGGTTGAAATTACTTTGTAGACAGGCAGTCAGGGGCAGATCCAAGGGAGGTGTAGTGGGGAAGCTGCACCTCCCTTTGTTTCCCCAAACTTTAACAACAGCTACCTGAGAAGGGAAGCTGCATTTCTATTCATAGATTCATAGATTGCAAGACCTCGGGGGATCATCAGGTCCGGCCCCACTGCACCAGGCAGGAAAGACAACTGGGAGTCAGGTGACCCCAGCAAGGTGACCGTTAGTCTCCTCTTGAAGATTTCCAGGGCATGCAATTGCACCACCTCTGGAGGGAACCTATTCCACACTCTAGACACCCTGACTGTGAAGAAGTTTTTCCTAACATTGAGCCTGAAATGGTCTTCCATGAGATTGTGGCCATTACTCCTGGTTTTTCCCAACAGTTGTTTACTGATGTATGCCCCTGATGTAGCTGTAAGCCATTATTAAGTCCACTCTCTTCCTCCTCTTTTTCAGGCTGAAGAGTCCCAGGTCCCTCAGCTTTTCCTCAGATGGCTTGACTTACCACATCCTTGTTGAAGTGCAGTGCCCAGTACTGGATGCAATAAGAGATGTGCATGTAGCTATAATGACTACAGGACTAATGAAACAATATCTTTTTACTACTTTTTCTCTAGTTTGGGCTTTTTAAACTTAATCTAGAAAATAATCTGTATTGGAATAATTTTATCCAATTATAAAGGAATTAATTTCAATGGACAGTTGTCAATTAAACTTTTTTTTTAAATAATTTAGAAAATTAGTGCATATTCCAATAAAGTTATATTTGTTGTTCCCTTTGATCTTAAACTTCATAATGTAGCACTAGGCTCCTAGCATATTTGTAAAGCTTGAAGTTTCTTTTTAACTGGAGAAAAATGTGTGTTGCTTTTTATGTCACACTGTGACATTCTGCACCCTGCCCTTTTCAAAATCCTGCATCTACTTATGCAACCATTCAAAAGACTTAAACCAGTTAAAAAATAGCTGATGTACTAAGAATCTCCACTGTGTCAGACTAGGTCAAAGTCTTCATTAATTGGAGTTCAAGCATTTGAATAAATGCATTCGTACATACTCCTGCTACTCCACGCTCCACACTACATAGCATACTCCTCTTGTTTAGATTTACTATCACAAAAAAACTCTCCAAGATCTTTATTGCTTCAAATGTTCTCACAAACTTTCATGAAAGCCAGCTTTCCTCATTTCTGATACAGAAGCTAGAGATCATTTTCAGTTCCTTTTCCTTTGTGTCAAAACATTCATTTCACATGACTCTAATGGGAAAGCATTTGAATACTTCTCATTAAATGTGCTTTTACACCTTCAAACGAGGATCTATCGAAGGTCAGGGAAATTTGTAAGACACATTTTTGGGGGTTTTCAAGAAGAGATTCTGCAGCAACTCTCCTATTCTCTGCAGCAATAAGCTAATTTTTCAGGAAATATTGGCATTCCCTCAGTTGAATGGGATATGGGAAAACTGATTATTAACCCCTTTTGAGTGGTTTTTGCAGTATTGCTTTCTACAGGACAGATACCAAGCAAAAAAAGTTCCACCGGCTGATCTTTTATGAGACATGACTTTGTGACCAACATATTTATTTCTTTTACAACTATATTTTTTATCCCATATTAATCTAAGTAGATTCTATTTTATGAATAAGATTACAGCCAAGGAGATGACTCAAATGACTTGTTTTTAGAATTTGATAACTGTTGCATTTAT